GGGCACACACACAGGCTGTGATCTCTCGGGCTGTGCGGGCACTGCGCACCCGCCCGTGCCGCCGCTCTCGTCTGTCCCATCACTCCCCGCGGCCTCGGACGCGTCAGCGCCCAAGATGGCTGCGGACAGCGAGGTGAGTGTTTCCCTCGCTCCTTCCCGCGCTCCTCTCTCCCCTCGGGCGCGTTCTCTGCCCTCACTGCCTCTCCCTCTCCCCTCAGCCCGAGTCGGAGGTGTTCGAGATCACCGACTTCACCACCGCCTCCGAGTGGGAGAGGTAAGCGCTGCCGCGCCCTCCCGCCGGGCGCCTGGGGCTGAGTCCCTGCTGCTCCGCCGCGAGAGGGTTACGGGATGCAGGGGAGATCTAGTCCGTGAATTTAGTGAAATGTCCGGTTTAGTATCTGCTTGCGAGGAATTAAACATCCAGGAGGCTTGTGCGTTGTTTTAACTCGCTGCCTGGTTGTTAAAATAGTCATCTCGTAGCTGAAGCCTTTAAAAGTTAGCAGAAGAGTGTACCAGGAAACTGAAGGTGAAGAATGCTCTTGGATTCCTAAGAGTTATTATCTTGCTGTCTTAAGGTATTATGTTTTTAAATGCTTTTTTTCCTGTGATGATGTTTATGACAGGAGGCAGTGATTCTAAACGCTGTGTTTTGAACCTGAATTTGGTGTGTAATGTTGTTTGTGAACAGTCAGGAGTCTGTTCTGTGCAATACCACAGAAAGAAAAAGGGGAAGTTCTCTCAACACTCAAAATATCCTCATAGCAGTTGCCAAAAGTAACTGTAATCTGAAATGTAAGCATAGGTTTGTTTCGTTTGCACAAGGAGGGAATTATTCTGGTTTTATTGTGATACTTGTGGGGTTTTTTTTGTTGGTTCTTTGGGTTTTTTAAGGAATTCCAGAGTAGGACAACATTGTCTCCTTTCACATAGCTGAGTTACAACACAAATTTAGCTTTCAGCAAACACTAATGCCTTTTCCCCTCCCTAATAGATTTATTTCAAAAATAGAAGAAGTGTTGAATGACTGGAAACTAATTGGGATTTCTTCAGGCAAACCTCTGGAAAAGGTCAGTTCTTGTGTCTGAATTTCCTTTTAGAAGTTGTATTGCTAACTAGCAATGCTCATGTGTATTTCATCTATTGCTGTTTTCTTAGGTGTGGTAGATCCTGAGTTTTCCTAGAGAATCTCACTGGTAAAAGTTCAGTTGCTGTAGATTTATTGGTTGGCTCTCTGCCAAACAGGCTATTTCTCTCTTAAAGCTTCAGGTAGAGCTTAGTGATTTGTTTCATTCTCAGTTTGAATCTGGAGTCTGAAACTGCTCTGAATTCCTGGGGAATCCTCGTGCCTTGTGCCTCTGTCACACCTCACATCCTCGTGGCTGAGGCTTGCACAGTGCTACTTGTGACTCAGTGTGTTTCACAGATTGGAGAGGTTTTCCTCTGAGTCTAATTAGAGCCTTTGCGGTGCTTTCTCAGCCCCATGAAATGCAGAGGAAATTGCTAAGCTGTTCTGCACACAAGTGCAGATAAATTCAGCTGTTCTGGATTGAATAGCTGCTGTGCTGCCAGAGGAATTTTGATTCTTGGTTTCAGTCAGGGTACAGAGTATTCAGAATAAGAACTCCTGTTATCTAATGAACTAATTTTACACGTTAGCTGTCCGTGGATTCCTTCATGTCATCTTTTCTAGACCAGACTTCTCTTCTTAACATGCTTGACAGACCAGAGGCTTGTCCAGCTGGTTTTGTTTTAGTAGCAGCACACAGTTCTGTGCAGTGATGCTGCTTTTCATAGGAACTCCTAGGCTATATTTTTGTTTAAAAATGGATTATCCTAACAGAAGTTTTGCAAATTATAGATGAAAAGTAGCCTGTTAGTGAAAGCATATTCAAAGTGAATATTGAGGTAGTACTTGCACAGAATCGTCTAGATGTAGATAAAATTCCAGGTGGGAAACCTCTGTCTCTGGGCAGGCTAGGGGTAGATGTGCAAAAGATGCACACTGGCATAAGAGAGGATATTTCTGCCTCCTTTTTCCCATCTAATTCTGAAGAGGGAGATACTGGATCCTTGGAATGAACATGGTTATTGACAACATGGATTTTAGCATTTGGCTTCCTTTATAATGAAGTGCTTTGAGAATTGTGTATTTAAGCTTCAGTCATTCTTAGCTGTTTAAGAATAAATATTTGGCAGCAGAAAAACATTAATAAACAGTACTGATCATGTAGGCAATATACTTTTAAAGGCTTATGGATGTTAACCTAAATTTGTGTGATAGATAATCCTTTTTTTGCATGCAGGGTATATTTACCACAGGAACATGGGAAGAGAAATCAGATGAAATCTCCTTTGCAGACTTCAAATTCTCAGTTACCCATCACTACCTTGTACAGGAACCCAGTGACAAAGATGGGAAAGAAGAGCTGGTAGAAGGTACCTGATGGTTCTCTTACATACCTGTAAGGATATGGCAAAAGGCAGTGTCAGAACATGGAATTCAGTGTGTTGATTTGCTTCTGTGTGAGGTTTTTTGATGAGCACAATCTAACGTTTCTACTCTAAGTATATTTTGCATTCACACATTGCTAATGTAAGTAAATTGTCAATGAGCTGTGTGGATGTTGGTGACTTTCCTGTCATCTTATTTTCTTATCATAGAATCAACGGGGTTGGAAAAGACCTCCAAGATCATCAAGTCCAACCCTACCATAGTTAGTAGCCCATGGCACTAAGTGCCACATCCAGTCTCACCTTGAAAACCTCCAGGGATGGTGAATCCACCACCTCCCTGGGCAGCACATTCCAATGTCTGATCACTCTCTCCGTAAAAAATCTCTTCCTAATATCCAACCTAACCCTCCCCTGGCAGAGCTTGAGTCTGTGCCCTCTTGTCCTGCTGCTGGTTGCCTGGGAGAAGAGACCAACCCCCACCTGACTCCAGCCTCCTGTCAGGGAGTTGCAGAGGGTGAGAAGGTCTCCCCTGAGCCTCCTCTTCTCCAGGCTGAACCCCCCCAGCTCCCTCAGCCTCTCCTCATGGCACTTGTGCTCCAATCCCTTCACCAGCCTCGTTGTTCTTCTCTGGACCTGCTCCAGCACCTCAATGTCCCCTCCTGAGAGAGAGGGAACATTGGTCCCCCTGAGGGGCCCAGAACTGAACACAGTACTCAAGGTGTGGCCTCACCAGCACTGAGTACAGGGGGAAGAATCACCTCCCTGGTCCTGCTGACCACACTGTTCCTGATCCAGGCCAGAATGATGTATCTTACGATTTTTTTTTCCACAGATGACCTTCCTCTGCCCATGCAGGACTTGCTGTGCATGAACAATGACTTTCCCCCTCGAGCTCACTGTCTGGTGAGATGGTATGTGTGCTGCCTCTCATCTCTAACACAAACAAGCACAGCAGATGAAATATCTTTGATGCTGGCACAACCAGTTGTATATTTTTATTCAATTAAAAATTAAAGCTTAAGTAAAATGATTCTTTGTAGTGGACACAGGAAATGAGAGCTGGAAGTGCCCATCCTATCTTTACTTTTGTGGGTTTTTTTGTCCAAATATTTTTGTCTCAGTTTCATATGTTAACTAAGCTTTTATATGTGTAATAATTAGATACATTCTTAAAGAGGAAAGCTGCAGCACCTCAAGAAACAGCAACCAAATGGTGTTAACCAACCTTAGTAATGCAGATCTTTAGGATTTTATAGCATTATTCTAGAGTGATTGTTTTTATACGTAAACTGTTTCAGTTGTTACTAACATAGAATAAAAAACTCAGGCCTGATAGGCCTGAAGTCCTCACATTCAAACACACTTCAGTGTTTGAATGCTGTTGAGCTCAGGTAGTTTGTGATTTCAGAACCTGCAGCACTCCATGCCCACTCAGTCCTTGACCTGTCTGGAGGAGTTACTGGCATCAAATTAACAGATTTCACAGTCTGTGGGTGACAATTAGGTTATTCAGGTCACAATGTTCCTAAAAATTGTGTGTTTCAACTGGCTTGATAAAACTCAGAAATGTTTCTGTTTCTCTTTCTATTCAGGTATGGTTTACGTGAGTTTGTGGTGATTGCTCCTGCTGCTAATAACGATGCAGTTCTGAGTGAATCCAAGTGTAACCTTCTGCTCAGTTCCATTTCCATTGCACTGGGCAACACTGGCTGGTAGGTGAAAACAGACCTTTTCACATGCCTGGGTAAAACTCTAGCATACTGCATCTGTGAGGAAAAAGGGTTAAGTTGTTAGCAAAATGCATTGAGTTTGTTGTATTTGTGATATAATGTTGTTAGAGAAGGATTAAAAAAAATATCCTATGGAAACTTTATAAAGATTTAGTCAATGTGTTGTTTTATGGTCCTTGTTTAAAAGCCTTAAATGCTTTTAAAAGCTGCTAGAAGTTTTTGGAATAGTTGGTTTATAAAACATAACTCGTGGAAGAGAATCTCTTCCCCATGTGTGATAACAGGAACTTCATAATCTTCCTCAAAAATTATTTAGACTGAAAATTAGGTGACTGAAGTCATGGATGGGGCTATGATTATGACATGACAATTTGCTAGGCATTCTGTTTTGTGATGGCATCAACAATGTTTTCCTTTGATTCCTATTAAGTGTTTTGAAGTGTCTTCCACTAAGAGAAAATACATTCCAAAGGATTGAAATTGTTGCAATTACCTTAACATGTTTAGCTAGTTTTAAAGACTACAAGCCAGCATGACATCCCACACAATCTGAAGTGCTGCTGTTTTGTAGTCAGGTGCCCCTGTTTGTGCAGATACACCAGAAGTGGCGTCGGATGTACGTGGGGGAGTGCCAGGGCCCAGGAGTGCGGACAGACTTCGAGATGGTTCATCTCCGCAAGGTGCCCAGTCAGTACACACACTTGTCAGGGCTCCTGGATGTCTTCAAAACCAAGATTGTAAGTACTCTGTGTATAAAACTGACACGAAGAGTAATTATTTTATTACCTGGTTGCTTATAGATTCATGTCTGTCTTCTAGGGTTTTATTTTTTTGTAAGGATGAGGCTTACACTGCTGATTCTGACAAAGCCTTTCCAGATATTATCAGTATCTGGCCAGGAATAGTGGTGTGGGTTTGGTTCCTCTGGTTACCACCTATTATTTTCCACTGACCTGTGACAGAATGTGTCTGTTTTGCAGTTTGTTTGTAACAACCCTCCCTTCCCCCTTGCCCAAACAAACCCTATTTTGCTATTTGCAAGGAGAAGGGAAGGTTGGGGTGGGTTTTTATTTCGACACTTTGTTGCTCCCCAGGCTAAATAAGAGTGAAGGACACTATGTGGGAATGTGAGGAGGCTGAGTGGAATGGTTGTTTACAGGGTGGCATGGCTGACTGAAACACTTTACAACTATCGTTGGGGGTCAGCAGTCTGATCAAAACACTGAAGAAAAATGTCCTTAACGAAAACCTAACGTATTCTGGGTCAGAGTTACTTGAATTACCAGTTAAATGAGCATACAGTTGTCTCATGCATTTTATGCCTTGCTGAGCAATGGCTTTACTAGTAATCATAAAATCATCAAGGTTGGAAAAGACCTCCAAGATCATCAAGTCCAACCTTCAATACTTGGGGTGTTGCAATTCTACTGAAATTAGCTCTAATACAAGCTATCCTAACTAATTTATGTTCAAGGCCTGGAGTGTTTGAGAGGATATACTCTTTACATGGAATTTATTCCCTAATATTTTGAAGGGATGCCCTCTAACACCACTGCCTCCGGTTAGCATGGCTATTCGACTTACCTATGTGCTCCAGGACTGGCAGCAGTACTTCTGGCCACAGCAGCCACCAGGTAGGAGATTTGTGTCCCTAGGATAACTTGTTATAAGACAGTCAGTGCTAAAACAAATGTGTATCCTGCCAGAAGAATGAAAACATTTTCTGCATTACAAAGAGGCTTCAGTTACAGCTGAGTCTGATCCCACTCCCTGTGACAGACCAGCAAGCTCAAAGCTGCTCTGAAATCATGTCTGTGGCTCATGGCTGGGACAGGGGTTTGGTTAGGGCTTTGCCTAGAAACATAGTGATGCTGTTCAGGGAAAACACAGGTAGGTGTTCACTTGGTACTCTCAGTGATCTCTCCTGTGGCTGCTCAATGGTGACACTGTCTTCCTTGGCTATCAAGGATTTGTTTCTAACAGGTCTTTCTGTATAGGTATCATTAGAAGATAAAAGATAAACTTCTATCTCAAGGGTAGACAAACCTATAGGAAGAAGATAGATGTTAGTTCCTCCTAAACATCCATTTTATTGGTGATGTGGTGTCTTAGGTACAAGGTGGTGGAGCAATTAATATGCCCAAGTTCTTTTCTGGACTTGGTAGTAATTTTACATAAAAAGATTGAAGTATTTAGGGCACACTTAGAGAGAGACACAACTCATGTGGTCTTGGACTGGTTACCTGATTGTTTGGCTTTCCTTTACTTACAAAAAAAAGTACATTGTGTTTTGAAGAAGTCTTTAGTGGGGTTGATTCTCTGTGCTTTATAGCTAAGGAATGGATGTTGAGCATATGTTTAAAGAGAGTCTTGCATTCTAGGGAGAGAAAATCAGTGCTCTTTTAAGTGATACTTCCTCTTTGTAGTTAAACCAAGATTACCTAAAGAACTTGGGAAATGAATTCTACAGACTTTATTTGTAACTATTTCTGCAGACACAGAAATCTGTTTTCTGTAGCCTCTCTCTGCCTTGCTGTAGTTATTCCCTAAGTCGGGATCCTTGGTTTGTGATGGATGAGTTGTACCACTGATCTTATTTCTTGGTTTGAGCAGTTTGAGTAACTTCCACTCCTTTGGAGAGTTGTGGTTAAGGGAACCAGTGTGGCAGAGTGTATTGCAGAAGCTGGAGACAAGCCAGTACCATTTTTATTGCTGTTGCTATGTGCAGTTGTGGTTTTATGTTCACTGTGAAGAACTAGACCTGTAATTTATTACCATCACTCAATTAGCTCTTCCCAAATAAAAAACACATTTAAATTATTTGCTTTTATTTTCTCTGAAGAAGAAATGATATAATTAAGTTATCCAAGTACTTTATCTGTTGTAATACCTCACTTGTTTTGTGTGTAAACAGTTTGCCAGATGCATTTAAAATTACAGCTCAGATGCTGTAATAACATTATCATAATGGCATTACAATGCATTATTACCCATTTCAGTTTGTGTTCAGTGGAGGCTGTCTGGTTTTGGTTTGTGTATTTGAGGGATATAGCTTGGGAAGTGGCTGAGGATGCTGGGAGGCATTTTTAAGTACCTGGATTACAAGGAATAAGTACCTGATTACAAGGAATCTCCCAGATCATTTGGTTAAGTCGTTAACTGTAGGAAACATATCACTCTTTTCAGCCTTTTAAAAGTAGTTGTTTTTTCACTCTGCAGAGTTGCTCTTCTAGAGTCTTCCTTTTCTGCCTGGAACTGATTTCCTGCCCAAATATATTTATGTCACTTCTGTGTCTATCTGTCTTTATAGCTATCACCTTTGCCTGTATGAAGGGAATTATCTTCCCTCAACAGGAATTACAAGAATTTTTGTCTGTCTTTTTGAATGTCCTGTTCCATGATTACTTCCCAGTGTCTGTTGAAAGCAATTTCTTTGTGTGCTAGGATTGTGTTTTTATAGCTCAGTCACCTTAGCTGCTCAGCTGTTCTCTGGTCATCCTACGTGCTACATACAGTCTTTACTGTAAAATTAAGGTGATATCCTGCTTATCTTCCACAAATTCTGTATGGAAAACGTATTGGTTTTTCTTCAGATATAGATGCTCTAGTTGGGGGAGAAGTTGGAGGCCTTGAATTTGGGAAGTTACCGTTTGGTGCCTGCGAAGATCCTATCAGGTAAGAAAAGAGTTCAGAAAACTGTTTTATAAATCCTTAATGGAGGTCATAAAGGTAGGTTACTTCAAATCTTAGCTTTGCCTGCCTGCCTGGTGTGTCCCTAGCAGATATTTGATTATTGAACATCTGTGAAGGGTAATGGTCTAGTAGCAAGTTAGACCATTTGCAAAATTGTCTGATGATATTCAGAGTTCTACGTTGGAAATCTTTCACCATGAACTTCTGGAATACTTAACTTACCTCTGACATTATACCTTAACTGCAGATAAACCTTAACAATTATGTGCCTTCATTCAAAACTTTTTTGGAAAGCACTCACATTTTTGAATGTAGCTGCAAAATACATAGAGGGACTTGAAAATGAACTATGACAAATACCTTTCAAGGTCTTAACTATGATGGAAAGAACAGTTTCTACTAGCACTAAAAGACTGAAATCTTGCTTTGTTTCAGTGAGCTGCACTTAGCTACCACATGGCCTCACCTAGCAGAAGGTATCGTTGTCGACAACGATGTTTATTCGTAAGTATTTTGACTGAGTTACAAATACCTAGAATTGCACTTCATTTGTTAGCTCCTGTGTTTTGGTGACACCTAAAACATTGTGTGTGGCTCTGTATCTGAAAAAGAAGCTGTTTTGAGGAATGCTAAGGTCAGTTGATAGAACATCTCATGTGGGAAAACACCTTTTGAAATGCATTTCTGTGGGAGAAAATACTGTTGTAGTGTAATCTCTACAGAACACACACCTACATTTTTGAGTGCATTCTCATGCTGGACTTAAAAAACTTTGTGTGTTGTAAATTCCTTGGAGTGTAGAAACCAAAAGGAATTCACTGATTGATATCCCTCTTTCAAAAACTACCATCCAGGTTTTCTGCTGAAGAGGAAGAACAGTGTACACTGATACTTGAGAAAGAAGGGAAAAACCCAACATGGTTTATTGTTTTAATTAACACAGAGATTAGTTTTCAGTGCTAACGTACTTTAAAAGAAGACAATTTAGTTCTAACTGAATTGTTCTCAGGAGTTTCTTACTCATGCCATGTATGTGCACGAAACAGGGACTCTTGCTTGCATTTGTCGTGTTCTCCTGTGCAATATGGTGCATGTTGTGGCTTCCGTGGCCTCACTGGCTATGGCATTACGTTTATTGAGGATTTGAAACTTACAGTGACAACATAATTATTGGGGTTTTTTTTCCAAGTGACCTGGATCCTATCCAAGCACCTCAGTGGTCTGTGAGAGTCAGAAAAGCAGATAACCCTCAGTGTCTATTGGGTAAGACATCAGAATTCCTTATCTTCTCTTGTAGCTTTTAAGTTACTCACTTGTGAAGTTAGGGTTGGATTGTTGATTACCTGATGACCTCTGTTTCCTCACTCCCCTTATCTTTTGGAGTGCACAGTATTTTTAGGCTTCTTTTTCAAGAACACAACCTTTGCAAAAATATAAGTTTCTGTTGCAGATTATTCTCTGTGTACCATGAACTTCATTGCTGTTCTTATTTTGCCAGGTTCCAGAGAATAACCATTTTCTGTGTGTTCTGTGAAAATTCAGGTTTCCTAGAATCTTTTGATTTTATTGTCTCCTGCATATATCCATTTCCTTGGTTGAATCAATCTGACTGGCAGGAGAGCTGTCTCTCTGTCCATCCTCACCTTTTAGCTTGTGAGGAAAGGGCATCAAAACTAAAAAAAACTTAACTTGCTGCAGAAGTTTAATCTTGCTTTGGGTGAAGGAGTGGATCAGACTGCAGGCAGAGCTTTGCTGCCTGGGTGTGTGTTTTCCTAAGCCTTAATTATGTGGTGTAAAGATACCTGTGCTTCAGAACAAATTATCATATTCTTTCAGATGAACAGCTAAAAATTACTGTCCTTCAGGCATAATTTTGAGAGTTGGCTTATTGTTCAGTGAGATTTTGAACCGAGTAGCAATTCAGAAACTTTGTGTCTCTCACAGGTGACTTCCTGACTGAATTCTTCAAGCTCTGCCGTCGGAAGGAGTCAACTGATGAGATCCTTGGGAGGTCTGCGTTTGAGGAGGAGGGCAAAGGTGAAGCTGAAATGTTAATTTGTGTTATTTTCCCTTCCCTGTCCATTTGACTTCAGATGGTTTGGTATTTATGCTTGCAACTCTTAGGCATGTTCTCTAATACCCCTGGGAATTTTCTGATCGGTGCTACATGGTATAATTTCTCATGAATTCTAGGCAAGCTTAGCTCCCAGTCCCAGAGGACAGTTGCCTCTGCCATGGTTCTGAGTGTTTCTTTTCACTGGAATACAAAAGCTTGGAATTTGACTAGTGTGTGCAAGAGTTGGTTTTGAACATAGATCAAACACATTTGTCTGTTGTTTCATGTATTTTTGGTTTTTCCACTTTTTGTCTCCTTTTTGATGTACTCTGTAGTACATGTTTAACAGCCAGTTTAAAGAGTCTTTAATCTGTTTAAAAGGCTCCATTTTAAGGGATTTTAAGGAAAAAAAACCCCAAAATAAACCCCCTCAAAATTGTCTGACCAACAAGTCAAACTTTATCCCAGCTGTATAGATGCTGACATCTTTCTGATGTCTGTCCCTTTCTTTTGCTTTTCTTGCTTACATAGTGAAGATTCCCTTCCTTGCTGCTGCTTGCCACTTTTTCTTCCCTCCAGATATGGCCTGTATCAATGTATTTTCTTTGGTTATACTTGATCTTAGTTTAGGAGTTCACTAGTTAGCTTAAAAAGATGTTAGCCTGGGTAGGGTATGTATTACCCATAGTGCTTGACACACCTTGAAATGTTTGTCAAGATGAGCCTTTTCAGTCTGCTGGTAATGTTTCACTCTAAATTGTGTGCCCTGTTCTGAGCAATGGTAACTCAGTTTATTGTGAGAGACATTCAACAGTTTGCCAGCAGCAACTTTGGAAAAAAATCTGATTTGAGAAGTTTACCTGAGGAGTCTAAACCAGTTGTGCTTACACCATGTAAGGTCAGGTAGTGATTAATACTGGATTTATTTGAGGCTTGTCTAAAGCTTTAGCAATCCTTGTTACCTGCAGTGTATTCATTGGTGTCCTATATAAACAAGGCTCAAACACTGACTCTTCAGCAGGTGGTTGTGGTGCTCTGTTAGTAACTGCAGGTGTGCACTGTGTGCAGCCAGCTCACTCCAGACCTTATTTGCTAAATTAAATCAAGGACAGTTTGTGGCCTCGTTCTGCTGCTTATCTCTGTGGCTAAGCACGGTGAATATCGGGTGTGGAACCTGGGACACAGCTCTGGGTAACAGAGTGCTAAAAATCTGTACGACCTAAATGGACTGAATGAGGCAGGTGAACTCTTAGAGAGAGATGGTCTAGTTTTTGGTGTTTTTTTGTTCTAATTGTGTTAATTTTGTTTTCTAGAGGTTGCTGATATTAGCCATGCACTGTCTAAGCTCACAGAGCCAGCACCAGTCCCAATCCATAAACTGTCAGTCACAAACATGGTTCATAGTGCAAAGAAAAAAATCCGCAAGCACAGAGGGGTAGATGAAGCTCCTTTGAACAATGATGTTCTCAACACTGTTCTTCTGGTAAGTGAGCTGTCTGTGCACATTACATTCAGATAAATCATGTACTTCATGCTTCCACTGGTGCATGTGGTTCAAAGTCTATGGCAGATTTAAAAGTATCTGATGTCAGTTCCATTATTTGAAGTGCATTTATCAGCTTCTTGAGACAGCCCAAGTTGTTACAAGTCCGTGCAGCATAAGTGGACTGAAAATGAACTCTGAACTCTGCTAGCAGGTTTAATTATAGGGATGGCTGGTATGTAGCCAGCAGGAGCTTTATGGAGAAAGTGGGAAAAGCAGGGAAAACATAGTGATGGAAGGTGCTTTTTTTTTTTTGTCTTCAAGTTCTTATTTCCTGATGCTGCTGACAAACTAGTAGATGGATTTGAGAGCAAAGCTAGCACTTTTTTTTCAGGAAACAATCCTCCTCCAGAGAATGAAGATTATGTAAGTTGCACTGACTGACACTCATGAGACACAAAGTTACTTTGAATGTGTGTTCCTACAGACTTGGCTGTGCTTGCCCTGTGTCTTGTAATAGATGACTTTTGGAAAGAGCAACTTACCTTTGTGGAATCACTAGGTAGAAATAGAGGTTATTTCCTTTTCCTTCTAATTTCCTTGTATTCCTCCAAAGACTAGTTTTGGTAACTTATACTTACAGGCTTAAAATGTTGGTTAGCCACTTGTACTGACAAACAGGAAAGAGATCATGTTTTGGAAAAAATGCCATTGTTCCTGTATTTCCTGCTTTCTTTTATTTCTTACCTAGAACCTCTTCAGTCAGTTTAAATCTGCTCCTTCTGACAGTCTGACATACAAATTAGCCTTATGTCTTTGTATGATAAACTTCTACCACGGAGGAGTGAAAGGAGTGGCACACCTTTGGCAAGAGTTTGTGTTAGAAATGCGCTTCAGGTGGGAGAACAACTACCTGATTCCAGGGTAAGATTGATTTGTTGTTGTCAGTTTGTCATAGGGAATGTTCACAGAGTTCACTCTGTGACTTTGAAAAGTACTGATTTGGTTTTTAAAATGCTGTCCTCTGTTTTTATTACCCTAATTCCTTAAACCAAGAAAGGACAGAGAACAGGGAAAGCATCTTTGGAAACTGCAAGCTGCCTGTGGAAGCTCAACTTAGAGTTCACTCCAGCTCACAGATTCACTCTGTGAATGAGGGTGGGGAACAAGAAAAGCTTGTGTGGGTGCTTGGCTCCCAGTTCATAGACATGAAGGAGCTGATAGAGGGAAAAGCATTTTTGCTTTGTGATGTAGTTTCACCACTTTTCTAAGGAAGCTGTTCCAAGTTCCTGCTGGTGTAATAGCCTGTCAGGTATTCCAGCCCTTCCCGGTTCTGTGTGCTGCAGCAGGGCTTGTTGCAGACCAAGGGAAGGGTCCTGCCAAGATGAAGTGTCAGTATAGAGCAATATGTCTTCCTTTTGGGGTTGTTTTTTGGTGATTTTTTTGGTTGTTAATGGGGTGGACTGGCCATTTATGCACTAGTTTGTACTTTTAAATGGTTACACTAACAGATAAACAGAAGTTGAAATGCATAGTGATTACTCCACTGTATCACTGCAGTTTTAAAATTCCGCTCAAAGATGCTTAATTTCTGTTTGAAAACAGTTCCCTTTTTAATGTCCAAACGGAACACTGAGCAGGAAGTGCAGGGTGTCTGTTTCATACTAGTGTGAATGATCTCTGAGCTTCTGAAATGACCTCTAGGAAATAAATGTAGTTTAAATTCTGGGCTGGTTCAGTCCCTGCTTGTCTGCTGAGACTGTAGAAGAGCTGTGTAGTTGAAATGGTGGGGGATGGGTTCAGTGTGGGTATTTGCCTTTCTTTTAGATTTTATGTGATTTAAGACCATGTGTGTGAAAGATTCAACTTGTAATTGATAATGGTTGCACTTCTGCCTTTTGTTAGATTAGCTAATGGCTCTCCAGATCTGAGATGTTGTTTACTACATCAGAAACTTCAGGTAAATATCCCAAATTTAAGAATAATTTTTTTTTCAATTATTTCCTAAATATATTGTTGTTGTAGATTTAGTAATGCTTGTGGTTTTGGGTCTGGACTTGATTTCTTGGGAAAGTCTTTGTAACAGCAACAAGTTCAATGCAACTGTATTTTTTAGAATTGTTACATGTTTTCAATGTCTCTCCAAGTTTTTCTGTGTCATTGTTTCTCTAAGAGAAGTAATTGCTAAACAATTTTTTGTGCCTTTAACTTGTTAGATGTTAAATTGTTGCATTGAAAGAAAGAAAGCAAGAGATGAGGGGAAGAGAGGGAGTGTGTCTGATCGTTCACCCGGTGATGCAAGAGGAGCAGAGCACTCCGGAGATAACCCTGATAAGGAAAAGGAATTTGGCAAGTCTTGGGAATCGTGGAGTGACAGCGAAGAGGAATTTTTTGAATGCTTAAGTGACACAGAAGATCTCAAAGGAAACGGACAGGAAAATGGAAAGAAAGGAGGCAACAAAGAACCTGTAAACTTAAAACCAGAAGGTCGTCTGCATCCACATGGGAAGCTGATGCTCCTGCATCCAGGAGAGCCTCTCTACGTCCCAATAACACAGGTTAGGTACAGGAGCTGAGCCAGATGTGCAGCACAGCTCCTGTGCAGTATGGCTCATGCCTAGGATTGTGCAGTCATATATAGCTGGCAGGTTATAGCCTTGTCTGTTGAAATTGCTGAGTGTTTTTGGCCTGAGACCTTGTTTTTCATTCTTAAAACCTGACAGGCTGTTAAACTGAAAGCTCACGTGCTCTTTGTTTTATTTGAGAGTGGGTCTCCTTACCAAATCTCACTCCCAGCAAATCTTTTAAACAAGAATTAAGCTGTCTTGCCTACCTCAAATTTGCGTTTCTTGTTGTTTCCAACTTTTGAGACATCATCTATGCCTTCCTTTCCTTCCTGTAAAGTAGGAACTGTCATGGTCCTTCTACCAGGAGGATTTCTAGCTGACTGACCAGAGTACTGCATCAGCTTTGCTGCTATGTTTTTTCTTTAGGCTTTCTTTAATTTCTCAACTCCTATCTAAAAGATCAGAGTCATCATTTTTGGTGCCTTTAGCTAAAGCAGGTTTGTCATCAGACATGTGAAAATGTTATCTAACATCAACAGACTTTCTTGCAGAGTCACTAGGGGTGAAATAGGAAGCTGAGGAAGTAGTTTGAAATCAGCCATGCATGAAGAATGCAAAGTTTATAATTCCCTTGAGAGAAATTAGTTTTAATTAATGTTGTTTTGTGCAGCTAAAACATAAAAGCAAAGTGTAGTCAGGTAAAATGTTCTCAACTAATTACGTGCTGGCAGTATCAAAGGTAAAAATTCTACATGGCTTTAGGTGGATTTTCTTCCATCTCAGCAAAACAGTCAAATGCTGGATTTTATCTGGATTTTGGCATCTTAACAATATGTCCTTATATTGTGACCTCATTCTCAGGTTACTTTCTTTTTAGTTTCCTTTTGTTAGTGTTGCATTCAGATGCAGAGCTTTAGGCTGAACACTTTAAGCAGTAGAAAGTTCTGATTATTTCTTTGAGTACAAATGAAATAGAATGAACTTCTGGTAATTGGTAGAGACCTTTCCACTTCCCCTTCCATGAGAAGGGCTGAGTCTAGGAGAGGCTATTTGTAACCTTGTTTTTTCCCATGTTTCAGGAGCCAGCACCCATGACTGAAGATCTGCTGGAGGAGCAGTCTGAGGTACTGGCTAAACTGGGCACGTCAGCAGAAGGAGCTCACCTTCGGGCACGCATGCAGAGTGCCTGTCTGCTCTCAGACATGGAGTCCTTCAAGGTACTGCTGCTGCACAGAGGAATTCTGTCACATTGCTGGATTAAAATATCCCTGTTGCTTGTGTTGAACAGTTTTGAAGGTTTCTCTGACAAGTTTCTTTTTTGCTCCACAAAGCAGTTTCAAAATAGTTTCAAGCTGGAAATAAAAACTGAGTGATATAACTCTGAGAATATTTCAAAATCTGTGATGATGTAATCTGTTGTGCAAATTTACTGGGATGTTACAGCATAATGAACAGCTGTTCCTCAGATTGGGACTGCACTAGCTGTGGTTTTGGGTAATTTTGTTCCATTTCTTCTCTGAGCTCTGCAGAGGGAGCTAAGAGCACATACACTGCTGTCACCACAGGAGCTCAAAACTAAAAAGATCGGAGATTCTGTCATGAAATAGCTATATATATTTTAATTATTGCAATGTTTATGGTAAAAGGATATAAATGTACTGCTGAGTCAGAGTGTTTATAACATAAACATCTATTAGCAGTGACTCATGGCATATTAGGTATATGTAGTAGTTTTATTTCTATGGTGCAAGTGCTCTAAAAATTCAAAGTGAAAATCTAGAACAATTTGAAGCACAAGTGCACTCTTGATACGCAATAGAAAACTTTCATGTTCTGGACCTGTGGATGTATTTGTTTGACATTGCATCTATGAAAAATGAAGTGATTTTTCTTTGGGGGAGATTTTTTGAAGTTCCTTTTTAAAAGAAGAAAAGGTGAATTTTGTTACTGCAGTGTTAAAAGATGGAAAGTCAATGCTAACACACATTTGTGCAGCTCAGTGATTCTTTCAGCCTTGGGCTGTTTTCATCTAAGTCTTTAGTGTAGTATAAACTTGTACCTGAAGGAGTTAGTGAAAATTCCTATCAGGTACCAGGTAGAAACTTAACAGTATAATTTTGAGCTTGCCTGAAATAACTGATGAATGTACATTTTGTGGGCAATAAGAAGGTGTTGGGGGTTTTTTGTGTTGATGGTGTAAGTTTTACCCCTTGCCACTGTCTTGGTTTATACTTCATTCTCTCACCCTCCCAGCTCTCTGTCCTACTGTACCGTTTGGTGACTGTGAACAGAATTCCTTGAGTTTGGGCTCCTAGTCTATGCTCTACCCACTAAACCATATTGTCTTCCTACCCAGGCTGTCGTGTTTTTATAGGATTTCTCAGGAGCAAGTTTTATCTCCTCTCTTCCCTCCAGGCAGCTAATCCTGGCTGTTGCCTGGAGGACTTTGTGAGGTGGTACTCCCCTCGGGATTACATCGAAGAGGAAGTGGTTGATGAAAAGGGGAACAAAGTCATTAAGGGTGAGCTGAGTGCCCGGATGAAGATTCCCAGCAACATGTGGGTCGAGGCCTGGGAGACAGCAAAACCAGTCCCTGCCCGGAGGCAGAAGAGGCTCTTTGATGACACCAGAGAGGCAGAGAAGGTAAAAGCTCTGTGGTAGTGACAGTCTGGTCTGTGCTGCTCACAGCAGCCCTTTCCCCTTCCTCCTGCAGGATGTAAACATTAACAAGTTGTTGCATTGTATTCTTGGGGTTACTAAACTGTTTTGT